TTAATTTTTGTTAGTGCCAATTTTTACCTTCACCTGCTTTGATTTGATATCATGATGGTGAATTCTAGGAGTAGTTCATGAGATTGCTTCGTTACGGGTTCATTGAATTGGGGAACTGTTTGTAGGATATATAATATATATTGTTATTCGTTATGTACTATTACAAGACATTGCAAATGTGCAGAAAATTCATTTTTCTCTCTTCTCTATCCTTGCAATGCCGGGTCATAATTGTACTCAAATTTTGTGCCGCATGCTTTAACAACTTTGTTAGTGCACAATGTTCCCCATTTCCCCGCAGGAGAGTAATGAGCAAAATTAAAATGGAAATCTTTTGGAAGTCAAGTGCTACTTACATGGTAACAAAAGCTTGTCTTTTTTGGTAAGAAATATTGAAGACGCTTCAATCACATTCGTTAAGAAAATTAATGAGAAAAAGACGTTGTACTACTCCTTTTAACTCAAGTGGGGGGTCATTAGGGTGAAGTGGTAGATCACTCCAAGTAGAGCTAGTATAGATAGCTAAGTTATGTGGGGTTAAAAGGCACTATTGGTGAATTATTTGTCACATGCTGCGTGTTAATCTGTCGAATATTCATCAGTTTCCTTTTTACTTAGGATAATAATTCATCTAGTTTATAATCATATCCTTACTTTCTTCCCAACTTTGTTCCTCCTTCTCCATGAAAGATTTCCCTTTCCTTTTCATACAACTTTCTTGCTTCTTCTGCCATAATCCGCCAAATATTACATGTGATGTGAAGTCGCACAAGAAAGCTTTGTAAGTAGAAAAGACAGCTCTGATCAGAGTTACAAACAACAACTTTCTTCGCTTTTTGTTTCTCAATACAGAGTACCCTTCTTAATACAAACAGAACGGAAGTGAAAGAACCATCGTATAAAAGGCTTATCATTATTTCCCCCCCTTTAATTTACCAAACCATCTGGTGTTTTCTGTTAGGACAATATTTAATCATAGTACTTTGTTGTTTTTAATACTGATCGATCTGAAATTAAGATTTTACTTAAAAACATTGACCTTTAGTATTGACTTTTATAAACACTGATCATTTTAGACTCTTAACTTTTAATTTGCAAATTACGTAGGTAAAATTTTAGTTATATTATAAAATTAAAGAATATTTAAGTTTTGTGTCTAAATGTTTTACTCTTATCTAGTTATCACTTATTGTTTGTAGTTTTCTTTTTTAGGAAGCACTCTGTTTTTTATTTGTCGTAATCTCTTGTGTTTTTTAACTGACACTCGTACTAGAGTATTAATTTATTTTTAACAATTGTAACAATGCATTGATAAATGATGACATTACTCACATGTAACAGATTTTGGAGACAGAGTTACTCCATTAATAAACTTTGCTATCATGAAAGTAGTTGTGGTAAGAGAAATTTGTCAACCAGCTAAAGTATATTACATATCATTAAAATTATATATTTTTAGTCTTTGTTTGATTTAGAAAGTGTTTTATTTTTATAAAAGATATGGATATATAAAAAATCCTAAGTAAAAGCAACTAATCTTAATTAATATTTAAAATAAGAAAGAGGAGAATGATGTTGGAGGAGTTTGATAAGTCGATGATGACATGATTTCCAATTAGAAGTATTTTAACGTAAAGCCTTCTTCATCGCTCTCTCTACAAAATTTGGCCGTAGTGTGGTGGTGCCTTCAAATTGCATGCAAGATATTATCTTTTATGAGTTTTCCAACAAAATAGTATGGACCCACAAATAGGCCTCTTTCTGCGTTTTCTTTATCTAAGCTTTGTCAAATAATCGACAATTTTTGTGTGAATGATTGAAATTTAAGAGTTGTGTCTCTGTTTTTAACAAGTGTCAATTCACCCAAAATCTTACGTGAAACACTATCAAAGATTCTTTAGCCATGAAAGAGAAAGGAAATAACCATTATTATTACTATTACTACATATTACAACTTTATACCGTGTGCAAGAAATGGACCACAACTTTATCGATGTCTACCATATTATTTATACTCTTTTATCTATTTCTATACTTAAAAAGTTAAATAAAAATAACTCATAAATATGCTGTTTTAAAGATTTTGAATTTAAGATAATGTCAATTTTTTTTATTTCTTATTTGATACCAAATGTTTTTTATGATTTTTCTTTTAAAAAAACAACATAAAGTAAATAAAATATAAAAAAATAATACACTGTTATTATTATAAATTAAAATTATAGCCAAGACTATTAATTTAAAAGGTAAAATCATGAAACGAAAATAAAGATTTTTCATGACTTTCAGCAAACGAATTAAATGTGTTATTTTCTAACCATAAACTATTCTTCTTTTGAAAGAAATTGATTGTCCATAACAATGGATATTTTTCCTTTCCACACTTTATTTCATAATGTAGTATCACTACATTCAAATCCGATTCAATTGCTTAAAGATATAAACCACTTTTACGAATTTAAATATTAACATTTCTTTAGTTATAAAAAGTCCATAATAATATTTCTTTTATAGGAAGTGAAAGACCATTTATTATGTTGCTTTTTTATTTTATTTTGTCTGACCCCGTAATCAAAGGACTTGGTGTTTTAAAGTATAAGAATGGATTTGAACATAGTAAGACCTTTTACTATTAGCACTACTGTGTATAGGATTATATATATTTTTCCACTTCGATTTTTGTTTACCGCAGTCATAATTTTTGTGCGTATTATTTTATTTAATCACAATTTATAATATACGCACCTGACAAATTAAGTACTCATTATACAATGAGTAAAAATAGTATAAAAAACCGTTGTAATGTAAGAATATTTAAACTAAATTTTATATTTATACTAGTTTATGTTACTCTTAATCATTATTTTTGAAAATGTCTCTTGAAAGTACCTTGACTTGATTGTAATTTTTTTAATCTAAAAAAAAATAAATGAACCTTACATACACAAAGAGTACTTAATCAATGTTTGCATACAAACAACTTGCATGTGTATTATATATATATATATATATATATATAAAACAAGTATTGTAAGAAAATAATAATTTCATATGATGTGTTAAATCATGACCATTTCTGCATTTCCATTTTCCACAGCTTTGGGAGGCTATGAAGTGGGAAAAGCAAAGAAAGAAAGAAATGAGTGATTGACCAAACCAAAGATTTGCAATGACTTTGAAAATTCCGAAGAAGCCTCCTTCCTTGTTACCTTATTTAATTTATTTGTTTCTCTTTCACTATTTATTTATTATTATTTTTATTATTATTATTATTATTATTGTCTAAACCAACCAAAATAAAATAAAGCATCCACTTTCCCTTTTTCTTCTTGTTCTTCGTCTTCCATTTGGGTTTTCCCAAAAGTGAAAAGCCAATTCACCCCTCAGATCAGTGACGCACATACCCATCTAAGAAACCCCACATCAACAAAAACTCAGGTTTTTCCATAATCTGTTCTTTTTTTTTCTTCCTTTTCTCAATCCTTGCTTGTTTTGCAGGTGACCCAGTTGAAAATTCGAGATTTTTTTTTCTTGTTTGATGCGTACCCATTTCAAGATTGGATCTCTTCTTGATTTAGCTGTTTGAGATTCTCTCTCTATTTTTTGGCTGGCGACAGTGTGTTGAATTATGTTATGATGTTGGATTTCAACAATTTCATTACCCTTTTTTGTAAATTGTTTTTATTTTGTGAGAAGATGTATCCACCTCAGTTATTCACGATTTCTTCGTTCATATTCTTATTAAACAATTTTTTTCGTAAGAAGTTTTCAGACCTCTCCAAATTTTTCCTGATATAATAGATTCCCATATGTTTAGTGAGCATGGATGCGTGCATGAGAGGGCTCTAACTCAATCTTTTCTTTTGTGTCTGAACTTTGCAGAACTCACAAGATTGGCTTTGAATGAAATCCTGTTTTTCACTGATGAAACTTAGCTGAAGGAATTGATCAGTGGAAAACCTATTTTTCATAATATTTGACGTAAAACTGAAGCTGTAATATTTCTTTTAACTACACGAGTTCGTTGGATCTCTGAACATGGCTGGGAATCAAGATCAGTTTGAGATCAAGTTTCGGTTGACTGATGGCTCTGATATTGGCCCCAAAAGTTTTCCTGCAGCTACTAGTATTGCAACATTAAAGGAGAGTGTTCTCGCCCAGTGGCCAAAAGGTTACTTGTGTTACTGTTGTTTTTTTCTTTTTACTTCTCTTTTTGGTATTCTGGTTTAATTGCTAAATTTCCATGTTAGAACTGAGAAGATGTAGTATTGTTCTGGTGCTGTGAGGAACTCTGTGGTATAAATTAAGAGACTTCTGGTTTGGGTGGTTTGGAAAACATGGTGATTGAGGGTGCAGGAATATTTATGTTTGATTTATTATGTTGGTTGTAAAAAAGAGCTGGTATGGGCAAGCATAGTGGGCTGAATAAGGTACAAAGTGACCTTAGAAAGACTGTTAACAGGATGAAGTAGTCCCTTAAGGAACCTGATGTCACCTCAGTTGAGGCTCTTGGGCTGGACGAACTCTTATTTTAGAAGATTTACGCTGGCATGAATAATTTATAAATTCCTTTTAACATATAACTATTACTTCTTGAGTGAGTGCAGAAGTGGTCTCCGTTTCCCATTGCCAAAATGATGAAGAGCAATTGAAATAGTTCATTCTTTTGATGAGATAAGAAAATTAACTATATGAACAAAAATATTTTCCATTTAGTGTTATACAGTTACTTTTAATATTAGTCAAAGATATGCCGTCCAGCATATATGAATACTTATGTTTAATGCGTCAATGTTGGTCAATTCCTTGAGAAAACTTTACTAACATTAACAGAACGGCATTCCTTGAGAAAACTTTACTAACATTAACATTCGCTCCCAGCTTGAGTATAGTTCCCTAGTTTAGTTGTTTATTTCTTAAACCTCAATTTCTTCTCCCATGTACCTGCTTTACTTGCTTAGGAGGATTGATGCCTACCAATTGTTAGCAGTGTAGTTACAAGGAGATATTATGTGTCTTATGATTTTACTATTTCTTTAAACTGAAACTTTCTAAATTTTGAGAGGATGTTTGTAGCTTAGAGTTCACGCAATTGTTCATTGTTTTTGGATAGATGTGTGTAAACATAGTATTTATGTCCTTATATTGAGAATCAAGGTACCATTTTCTATGGTACGCTACAACTTTCTGGCATATTATAAGATATAACTAAAATGACATTTTCCAATAGTTGTATTTCACAAAGTTAGCAAGACTAAAACTGATATCTTTAATTAGATTCTGTGGTGAATTCTGATGTTGGTCATATTGTGAGCTTCTTGCTAAAAAATTTCCGTGGTGTTTTGTGATATATGAAATTTCTAAGTTTGTGTTTTTGTTTTGAAGACAAGGAGAATGGACCAAGGACCATAAAAGATGTGAAGTTGATCAGTGCAGGAAAAATATTGGAGAACAACAGAACAGTTGGGGAATGCCAGAGCCCATTATGTGATACTCCTGATACAGTTACGACAATGCATGTGGTTGTCCAACATCCTGCTACAGAGAAAGGTCTTTTATTTTTTGTTTATTTGATACATGCCCAAATCTAGTCTTAATAGCTTTTGTATTTCTTTTAGAAGCAATTTTTTTTTTTTAAGTTTTGCTTGGATAAGGTCAAGTTCTTTTTGCTCCTTTCAGCGAAAAATGCCTTCGTAATTACACTTTCTTAGTACAAGAAATAGTTAAATTCTTTTATGTCATCTTTTTATTTGGGATTGTCGTTTAATCACTTGAGGGTCAAATATCACTTACATTGTTGGCATAAATTTATTTTTTAAGAGTATTTGTAGAAATTATAGATTTTTAGGTATAGAGGGAAGAACAAAAGATCAAAGAAACTAAATTCACTAAAATATAGACCCTAAGCTTCTTTAGAAAAGTGATTTTATGATATAAGTTATATATATATATATATATATATATATATATATATATATATATATATATATATATATCTTTCTTGCTCGACAAATCCACTGAGGTTCTTTTTGCCTTAAAAAATGTTTTTCGTCGTGAGAGAGAAACAAACAAATGGGTCATTGATGTCTGTCAAATTACTATTTGTTCTAATCCATTTTTTAGACTTATCTTGTGTCGGACAAAACAGTAACCATCTTTTTGAAAAATTCAAATAAAAAGACAGTCTTTCCTGAAAATTATGGGAGAAATAGAAAACTGAAAGATAAAATTTGTAGTAGGTACTTAATAACTAGAAGAACTTCTTAGGGAACAATTTTTTTAATTGTCAGTTAGTAGCATTTCCAGAACTAATATAACCACTCGCACCTAAATGAAAAAGTGGTGCTATTCTGTTTGACTGATTTTGTTTTCATTCAGTCTTGGTGCCTTATCCGGTAGTTGCTGATAATTTAATATTTTTGCCCGATACAGAGAAGAAAGCTGCAAGCCAAGCAACACAGAACAAATGTATGTGTATTATCTTATAGCATCCAGATTGAATAGCAGATGTCATCTATCTTAGAAGGTTAGGGACACTTCATTTTTACGTAACCTGCGGCGTTGAAGATTTCAACATACACAGATTATTTGGTTGCATGTGTCATTCATACTACAGGCAAAGAGTACTGGACTGTTTACCTAAAAAAACCACTTTACTTGGTGAAGATTGTGAAACTAGTAGTTCCCTGATTCCTCTGCGGCTCTATATTTCTTGCACAATTTGATAGGAGATGTTCTTCTGCTGGTCTCAACATGTATTAGGTGTTGCCTCATCAGGCACTTGTTATATTGAAATGAACAATACTAGTTTGCCATCTTGCACCTCATATATACTTTACAATTCCTCTCTTGCATCTGTCTGATACAACATGCTTTCAGACATGTATGTGTTGAACATTTGAATGCGTTTTAATTTGCTTGTTATTTATTTGGTACCCTTGCCACTCTTGTATAGCAGTTGTTGGAATAGTGGTTTGCCCACACACCTCTTACAAAATGGAGATTTGATGCTTGAATTAAATCTCCCTGGCCTTCATTTATTGTTTATATTTTAGAAAAAGAAAGTCTCATGTCTTACAATTCAAGTTTCATGCTAGAAGTCGCATACAAAATGATTTAATCCTCTTACACCATTACTATTTTACCACAAGATATGCAGTATGTCTTGCCAAGATTATAGGCCTACAAAAAAAAAAAAGATTCTTGTGGCATGCCCTATTTCTTGTCAGAAATATAATGAAATTACCTTTCCTATTATTTGTTCGTGTTCAACTATTGGGAGAGGTGTTCATTTCTTATAACATTCTAATTTCTTACTGCTTGAGGTTGTTATTATAACCTTATGCTGATTTTTGGGAGTAATATCTCATGCACTCTAAACAACAGCTGCAGTTCCAGTCGCAAACATGGTTCTACAGTAATTACATCCTTGTTTTTTCAAAGTAGGGATACCTTAGGGGCAAAAGACCTCAGGTTCCATCATGTTGGTTACCTTTTTCTAAATAATTTCTGAATTATTCTAGCCATACATTTTGTAGTCTTCAATATACGAAAACACAGAAGAATGAAATAAGCATAAGTTCATCTTACCAACATATTGTTTCTTATAGTTTTTCCTTTAATACCATTGTTTATATTTGTGTTCATTTAGGTTTTGATCCTCAGTGTTTAAATCAAGCGAAATTATAAGTACTAATTGCTTATTTCATGATGAAATAAACAATACTAAATAATAGTAATTATCGCAATGGTTTGGAAGAAAGACATATAATAAGAAAAGGAAGGAAAAGAAAAAAGAAAGAACATAAATTAGAAAGAGAAACGATTCTTCGATTATTTTGTCATAAAAAAAATGAAAGTGAAAGAGTTTATACTACTAATTATTATAATACTTTTATTAATACTATTGTAACCACGATTAAGTACTGAAACTTAAACTAGTCTCTTTACCAGTTTAATTTTCACTTGATAGCAATTACTTTTATTTCTCAATTTTCAACTTTCAAAATTTAAATAAGTGCAACAGAGAAGGAAAAATTTATTGATGTCCACAACAGATTTGAAAGACGCATAACATCATATATTGTTGGACCGGTTCGATGAACAGCATTTCCGGTCTAAAGGATCTTATGGACCAGCCATTCTACAGGTTTTCATTCAGATGCAGGAAGATAATAATTTTTGTATAGGAATATAATAAATTATTTATTAACGAATCATTCTTTGTTAATTATAATTCAAGTTCAAATTACAATAATTCTTATATAATTCATTAAAACGATAGTAGTCCATTAACAAAATTCATGAAACTTTGAAATAAATCGTACAGGCAAAATATACTGAAATATTCTTATAATTACACTATTTCAAATTATCTGTCCTTTAAAGTTGTAAAACATTACCAGTAATAAATATATAACTTTTGCAGGATAAATTTCACGTGATGAAGGTAGACATTTTCACAGCAACTGCATAGTTCCAAAAGGAACAAGAACACGTGTTGAGTGGCTGCATATCGATACAAATCGTCATTTCAAGAACCTCCCAGAAAGCTCCACTCTCCACTCTATTCCATGTCCAAGTCTCTCAGTCTTTCATTCCAAGCTCTGTTTCAATTCAGTATCACGCTTTTCCCTTTCTCTTTGTTTCTCTTTTTCTTTTCTCAATACCCACGCAACACAAAGTTCCTTCTTCCTTCTTCCCTTCTTTAATTTTCCACTCTCATTCATACTTTCCACTCCCTCTTTCCTCAACGCTTTCTTCCTCCTCGCCAATGGCCTCTACGACGTCGTTTTCTCTCTCCCACGTCGCTGCCCCCTTCTCCTGCAACGCTAACCGTGCTCGCTTTTCTCACCGCCGTTGTGCCTCCTTCTCAAAACCCATTTCCCTTAAGCCACTCCAATCGCTCCCCGTCAACAAAAGACACCCTTTTGCAAATGGGTTTTTGACAATTCGGAGAAATTCCTCACCTTTCACCGTTCGCTGTGAAGCTTCAAGTGGAAGGGTAACACTTCCCAAATAATTAAATAAACGAATAGCGCATTTGCTTCTACTTTATTCTTTTTTCTTTCCTTTCCTTTCGAAACATGCAATCACCATGTTTGAGTTAGGTTCAGAATCGTTTTACTAGGTCCAGTTGGATGAATTGCTATCTAAGAACTCTTAGAAAAATGAAACAAGAAAGTAATTGAACTAAGCTAAGTTAAAATTCATTGATGAAAGTTTAGGTAATTGAGAGAACTGCTGTTTTTAAATTATGAGATATCTTAATTGATTTCATCTTTTTATTCCTTCATCTAAAAGTGTTTATGGAAAAATTTATCCCGAACTGGTTTAAGTTTTCTCTATTTTTAAATTGTCTTCATTGGAAAACATGGTGAAGAGGAGAGACAGTTGACAGAGAAAAAGAAAGGTTGAACGGAGAAAAGTGGTTCAAAATTGAACTTCTATTTAGTAGCAGAGAAGCACGCAGTTATCAACTAACTAACCAAACTCAACCAATTTAACTATGTTTGTCATTTTTGTCAGCTTATTTAGAATTTTGAACGTTTGTGAATTTGGGTTGTATGATGGCCTTAGAGCTTGTTAAGTAGGGTGAAGTGGTTGATGCTGAGGTTTTGATGCTATGGCAGATTACGCAGCAAGAGTTCACAGAGATGGCGTGGCAGGCGGTAGTTTCGTCGCCGGAAGTGGCCAAAGAGAACAAGCATCAGATTGTGGAGACAGAGCACTTGATGAAGGCTTTATTAGAGCAGAAGAATGGGCTTGCTCGTAGGATCTTTTCTAAGGTTGGGGTGGATAACACTCGTCTTCTAGAAGCTACTGATAAGTACATTCAGCGGCAACCCAAGGTTGAATTACATATTCAATTAAGATTGCAATTATTTTGTTGTCTGGTTGAGTTTAACTGCTAGTTATTCCTCCCGAGAACCCCAGACGTTTAATGCATGTTCAATTATGTTAGGTTCTAGGGGAATCGTCTGGTTCAATGTTGGGACGTGATTTGGAGGCATTGATTCAGAGAGCTAGGGACCACAAGAAAAAGTTCGGGGATTCATTTGTTTCAGTTGAGCACTTGGTTCTTGCTTTTACCCAAGATCAGCGATTTGGGAAGCAATTATTTAGAGATTTTCAAATATCTGAGCCCGCTTTAAAATCTGCAATAGAGTCCATTAGGGGACCTCAGTCAGTTATTGATCAAGGTAGTTATATTTTTCCATTTGTCTTCTTTTTATAACTTTTAGTATGTGATATGTAACCAGGTGTTGTCTTCTTTTTATCTTCATATCTCTTTTCTTTTTGGAGGAAGGTTAGTTAGAGATTTTCGATATATACATTTGTTGTTGTTGTCCTTCATTTTTTTTTCCTTGAGTTTGAACTGTATGCTTAAATGATTGGCAACTTTGCATTGCTTAAGCCTCATTTTAAGTTTCTATACAGATCCTGAAGGGAAATATGAAGCCTTGGAAAAATATGGAAAAGATTTAACTGCAATGGCAAAAGCTGGAAAACTTGATCCAGTCATAGGAAGAGATGATGAAATACGTAGATGCATCCAAATTCTCTCCAGGAGGACAAAGAACAATCCTGTGCTGATTGGTGAGCCTGGTGTTGGAAAGACTGCCATTTCTGAAGGGTAAGTGCGTAGACCTTTATCCTCCATTGCCTATGATTGATTACATTACCATTTGTTTAACATTATTGCTGTTAAGATCTTTTTAAATGGAATGGAAAATTAAGCTTAACTAGTTTATAGCAATATTGACTAGCCTTAATTTCAATGTCTAACCTGCTTCATAAATACCAGCAATGCCATCTGTTAAACAGGTTAAAGAGTAATAAAATCTTGTCTGAACATACGGAGTTATATTATGAAAAAAGGTAAATGAAATTTTAATGAAAATATGTAATATTGTAAAATTAAATTTTAAAGGTAAATTTTTGAATGGTCTTTTGGAGGTTGCCCAAGAGATATTTTAGATAACGATTTTTTCCACATAGTTGTATAAATTAGAATGGAAAAATAAATTTGTTTCATTTGCATACTCATTACTCAATACGTAGTGTGAACATAATCACCTTTGGAGCACACATTTAGCAAAATTTAGCAAGGCTTTTCTTAACCTTATTGGAAAACAATCGGGTTAACTAGTTTTTTCTTCTTGCTTGTATCTTATTTGATACTTTTGTTAATGTTCCTTTCTTTTTTCTGTTTATTGATCTAATTCGTCCTTTGAAACAGACTAGCTCAGAGAATAGTGCAAGGTGATGTTCCTCAAGCTTTGATGAACCGTAGGGTATGTGCTTAATCCAAATGAATTGGCTATTTCTGATAGAGCTGTAAATGAATGGAACTTAATTTCAAGTGTCTATTCCCATTTTCAATTTTATATAATATTCTTTGACTTTATTCTATCCTCTGCCACCCTAGTTTTACTGTCATTTCTAAAGTAAAACGCCATATTTCCCTTTTCGGAAGTTTGTAGATTGCCTAGTAATTGTAAACTTAGTCTTTTTGCACTGGTTTCTCTTCAGCTTATATCGCTTGATATGGGTGCACTGATTGCTGGTGCAAAGTACCGTGGAGAATTTGAAGATAGGCTGAAAGCTGTGCTTAAAGAAGTAACAGAATCTGATGGTCAGACTATCCTTTTCATTGATGAGATTCATACTGTTGTTGGGGCAGGTAAGAAGCTTGAAACTCAACCATTTTGAACAGCTTATTTTGGGTATTGTTAAAGATGCTCAAAGGGTCAGACTACTACTTGATGCAAAGTTTTAAATATCAAGACCCTTGGGATCAGTTGGGATTCTTATCGTGGATGATGCATTTTAGTTCACATCATTTTCCTGGGATGTGTTTTTTTTTTTTTTGTATCTGATGCCATATAGAGATTTAAAATTAACATGTTGGGTGTTGAATTTGATTGCAATTATTATCTATTCCTGTTAGGAGCTACAAATGGTGCTATGGATGCTGGTAATCTCTTAAAGCCTATGCTTGGTCGAGGTGAGCTTCGATGTATTGGTGCAACAACATTGGACGAGTATAGGAAGTATATTGAGAAGGACCCAGCACTAGAGAGACGTTTCCAGCAAGTTTATGTTGACCAACCTACGGTTGAAGACACAATTTCAATACTAAGGGGACTGCGTGAAAGGTATGAGCTACATCATGGAGTTCGAATTTCTGACAGTGCACTTGTGGAAGCTGCAATTCTTTCAGATCGATATATCAGTGGGAGATTTTTGCCGGACAAAGGTGATAATACTTATTTTAAACTCTAAATATTGTGCATGAGGATTGAGAAGATTCTGGAGCATTGACATTCATGCTACTGATTAGTATTATAATGACACAAGTTTTACTTGAAAGAGATTTGAATTCCAAATTAGAATATTTTCTAAATGATGATAGCATGCTTTTGAGAATTTATTAATTCAGTTGAGTTTGATGGAAAACAATTAATTTACAGATGATTGTTAGAAAATTAATGGTTCTTGATACCCTTGAAATGACAATGCTTAGAGAATCTTTTGCTGCTACAAAGGGATTGATAATATTAAAGTTTAAAATCATTTGTAAAACCCTCAAGTCTTTAGCACTTTGCTGCTGTTAGTAACATATATAGACCACATTATTGGTTTCTGAAGGGTTTGGCCTTTATTGATCCTAATATAGTTCTGACTTGTGAGTGATTCATCTCTTTTTGTTACTCATCTAAGTTAAACTTTCACTGGAATGGTATCAGCATCAACAATGCCCATGAAGCACTAATTGCTAGCTTCATCTAAATTGCAGCTATTGATCTGGTTGATGAGGCAGCTGCCAAACTGAAAATGGAAATCACTTCTAAACCAACTGCACTTGACGAGATCAACCGGTCAGTCCTAAAACTGGAGATGGAAAGACTCTCTCTCATGAATGATACAGATAAGGCTACTAAAGATAGGCTGAATCGTCTTGAGACTGAGCTCTCTCTCTTAAAAGAGAAACAGGCTGAACTGACTGAACAGTGGGAGCATGAAAAGTCTGTAATGACTCGTATTCAATCAATCAAGGAAGAGGTGTGTTGTTTATGTCTTTCCTGCTGGAGATTTTTTTTTTTCATTTTGAATTAAGCAATTGTTCAGAAGAGGGGTAGGATTAATTTTGCATTCTGAAGTATTTTCTGCACATATAACTGGTGCAACTATTTGGGTTGATTTGGCTATTATAATCTTATAATCTAAGATACCAATTCAATCAAGTAAAAGATCACTGTATTTTTAATATATGATTTACAGCTGATAGTCATGATTTCTGCATTTATGCAACAGATAGACAGGGTGAGTCTTGAGATCCAACAGGCTGAGCGGGAGTATGATCTTAATAGGGCTGCTGAATTAAAGTATGGCAGTCTAAACTCCTTGCAAAAACAGCTTGAAAGTGCAGAGAAGGAACTAGATGAGTATATGAATTCAGGGAAGTCTATGCTTAGAGAGGAAGTTTCAGGAAATGATATTGCTGAAATTGTAAGCAAGTGGACTGGGATCCCTGTTGCAAAGCTTCAACAATCAGAGAGGGATAAGTTATTGTATTTGGAGGAAGTACTTCATAAGCGTGTTGTAGGTCAAGACCCTGCTGTTAAAGCAGTTGCTGAGGCTATCCAACGCTCAAGAGCAGGTCTTTCAGATCCCCATCGGCCAATTGCCAGCTTTATGTTTATGGGACCGACTGGTGTAGGAAAGACAGAGCTTGCTAAGGCACTTGCAGCCTACTTGTTCAACACAGAAGAAGCTCTTGTACGAATTGATATGAGTGAGTACATGGAAAAACATGCTGTTTCAAGATTGATTGGGGCTCCACCTGGATATGTTGGGTACGAAGAAGGAGGGCAACTTACTGAGATAGTTCGCCGCAGACCATATGCTGTTATTTTGTTTGATGAGATTGAGAAGGCACACTCGGATGTCTTCAATGTATTCCTTCAAATTTTGGATGATGGAAGAGTAACCGACTCGCAAGGTCGTACCGTGAGTTTTACCAACACTGTTATCATTATGACCTCTAATGTTGGATCGCAGTATATTCTGAACACGGAAGATGACACCGTGCCAAAAGAGTTGGCTTATGGAACCATAAAACAGAGAGTAATGGATGCTGCAAGATCCATCTTCCGCCCTGAGTTTATGAATAGAGTTGATGAATATATCGTTTTCCAGCCTCTAGACCGTGAACAAATAAGTAGCATTGTCAGGTTACAGGTAATATATTCTTGTTACCACATTCTCAATGAGTTCAAGCCTTCCCATTTCCTAAAATTGCTTGATTCATATGTTCATATTGATTGTCCATGCTTCTAAGGATGACAGTGGTTATTGCAAAGTGTCAACTTCATTAAACCATATTGAATTATTTTCATGGTGCTGTTACATGGTTTTAACATCCCTAATAACAAGTTCCCTTTGTGGTGTATTGCAGTTGGAGCGTGTGCAGAAGAGAATTGCAGACCGCAAGATGAAAATCCAAATGACAGATGCTGCTGTCCAACTTCTTGGAAGCTTGGGGTATGACCCTAATTATGGTGCTAGGCCAGTGAAGCGAGTGATTCAGCAGAATGTGGAGAATGAACTTGCCAAGGGTATTCTCAGAGGAGAATTTAAGGAAGAGGACGCAATTTTGATAGACACAGAACTCACTGCATTTACCAACGGCCAACTTCCCCAGCAAAAGCTTGTTTTTAAGAAGCTTGCAGCTGAATCAGAATCTACCACTCAAGAAGACTCTTCCTTGGAACCCTTTCCACAGGCTCCGTGAACTCCTACTACTCTTCCTTATTTTTTCCTTCACACAAATTTGAGTATACAGTTTCCTTATACTATTGAACAATGATCCTTCTGCACTTTGCATCTGATGTATATTTTCTATTACCAATACGAATAACATTTGTCACTCGATAGCATTGTAATTGCCATGTCACCCCATCATATAATGATATAATTGTGATAATGTACATGAGCTAGGCTGAGTTTTATTAAAGAATTAGTATGAGAAGCATCTAACTGTTCCTGATATAGGCTATAAGACTGGATTTAATTCAATGATTTAGTAAAGTACTTCTTTAAATAAATTTATATTTAAATTCTTATGTAAATTGAAAAGTTCATTTACAAGTTTGTTCTTTAGGAGTTTTTAATATTTGATAAACAACTACTTTATATGTAACAATGATTTTATAAATAGTTTTTAAAGAAAAATCCATTTCCGTATAAACTTTAGTTAGAAACTTATATCCTTCCAGGATCCATTTGAGTGTTTATTTAATTACTGATAAAATAAAATAAAAAAGGTATACGTTTCCTAAACTTCATGAATTTATGGAATAACTAGAGTCATCCTTTTATCCTTTTTATAAATTGATACAAGTTCTACAGGAGTTCTAGTTATATCTCAAATACATTTGTATCCCTAATCTCACGCATTCTTATTTAGACCTATGAAGACCGAGAGAATATTTTTTCTCATTTAAATCCAATTTATTTTGTATTGTTCAGCTGGAGGGTTGGATAGAGGGATTCATTACATTGAACTAGTGCGAAGTATTGCAGAGACATCTCGTATCAATCAATATATTTGGGATATCACATATTTCACACTAAACCTTGTCTATTAATCATTCCAACAAATGCTTAATATCTCTGTATCGTTGGAAATATTGGCTTGGAGAGACTGAAGCAACAAGCTCGATGTAACAACCACGACTTTACCATCTCCGATTGGCTGAATTGACCCATGAATTTACCACCAAAGTTTTCAACCAACTTGTGATGATTTTCTGCCAACCTGTCCAAGGATAATAAGATGTGTCATATTGCCAGTTCTTCAGAATAATTCTGTACTCTCGTTGTCGTAAGTAGAAGGGAAGAATTTCAAGAATGACAGCAAATAACACATCTTTAGAAGAGACAGATTATCATTATTAAGAGAATTATGTACCACACAATAATTATTTGGTTTTGGCTGTTCGTACCACTGGCCCCACCACCTCCCATCCAGGGGTCAATAAACATTCTACAAATATCCCTAGTATCAAATCTACCTGGAGGAACCTTATACCAATTTGATATTTTGAAAAGCGATTTAACTTGAAAACATTCAAACTACTGCCGATGATGAAATAACAATTTTTATTTTCAATGTTCAATTTTAAATATAATGTAAAGTTTCTTATTTGTAATCTTTGAATATTAACATAATCAAATTATATACTTTATAATCCCTTTTAGGAAATATTATTTCATTATTAAAAGAAAAGAATAAATATTAACTACAAGTAAAACATCCAATTAAATTCCACCTAATGGCATTCTAAGTGGGTTCAGTTCTCAATGAAATCCAATTGTTACAATTACTAATACACATTTCAAACCTTATTTCCTTTCCATATTGAAATGTGAACAGATAACATAAACATCAGAGTAAAATAAGTTATGATTTTACAGATAAACAAAAATACCTGAGAATTATTTTGGTGTTATCTCAATTCAGATGCCTCTTCTGAATCTGACAGTGGTAACAGAGTACATATCCCAAGCACATGGCCGTTGAGGCACACATAATACTCAATACAGTCATCATAAGAACCCAATCTGAGACTAGCACTTTGAGGTATCATTTCGGCTTGCAGCATGCTCCACAACTTTGCCTTACAATAAGGGCAGACTTCACTTGGATGGAGTTTGGCACCTTTATTGATAAGCATCTTTCTGACCTTTGAGGTAGCAAACGACTTAAAAATTCCACGGAAGAACCCTACATCCCCTTCTTCACCTTGGTCAAGATGCTCACAGGGATCAGACACATACAAAACATCAGTTCTGCATTGAGGCAAAAGAAAGCTCTTTCCTGATGTTCTAGAAAATCGGGTTTGATAAACAAAGTGACCAGGGATCTGAATGCTATTGAACAAGCCACCTTTTGTGCATCCTGAACAGTATATCAGCAACTTCCCTAAAGCTCTCCAGTTTCCATCAACGATGTGGCTCCCATTAGATTGCAGATCCTGCAGCATCTTTGGAGCTCTCGTTCGACAAAACTCTTTCCATAGAACTCGTTTGGCAAGATCATCAAACCATTTGCACACACAGGATAGAGTAGCAATCAGCCTGGGATTCCAGTTCAAATTATGAAATACTAAGAATATCACATCTTCACTTAAATACCCTTTGGTACATTGACAGCTAGCCGAGTGTATGCATCGGTACTGCTTTGTGAGAATCATTTTCTTCACCTAGAAAGACTAAAAAACTATCAGTTCATGACAACCCTTTATTGGAAAATACAAGGGTTTTCACATAAAGTTGACAAATTCTAAATACCAAATTTATTAATTGAATACTTCTTAGTGATGAGGAGAAATCAAACCAACAGATGAAGCCAATATTGAACAATTCAAACAACAAATTAACGATTATACATTTAAAGCAAATAACTTACAATAAAGAAATAACCTAAGCAAGTTCCTTTTTATGTTACGCCAAAGTTAGCTCAAGAAAAGAATACAAGAAATTCTCTTCTCCTTCCAATGCTTTGGTATGGAGTGTATTTCCAGTGAACAGTAACTTCGATTACTTCTAGTCATGCAATCCATAAAATACCTTGTCTGTCGCCAAACTGAAAATGAAGACTGCACATTAGAGTGTTTCTTTTGGCCATTTTCAGTTTATATGTTTTTATCATAATTACAAAATAACAGTGTTTTTATTTTTCTCACTACATGCTGAACAAGATGACTATAAGGGATTGGCCAGGTATCAAAAGGGCACTCGATCAATCATGAGGCTTTGGACCAAGGGTTAAACATATTTGGTAGTGTGGTGAGTCAAAGCACGAAACATAAGGTAAAGGTTAAAAGGGAGAGATATAAATCACAGTCCTTGTGTAAAAACCTGAAAATTGAATGCACACATACATATAAACGAAGTGTAGGTTACAGCACTTGACAGATTATACCAAATCCTAATGCTTCAAGAAAAGAAGTATATACTTGTTATAGGTATAAGAAAGAAAGACAAGAAAAAGAAGGTAAACTTGTACCGTTATAGTCATAGAAAAAGATACAAGGAAAGAAGCGTTACTTTGACAAGCCACTTAAAAAATGACAGAATTTTATTTCATCATGAGAGGCTAAACCAAACAGACACGAAGCATGACTAAAATTGTACTTCTTTTAGTAGAATATAGAAGTCTGAGGTGAAAAAAGCAAAGATGAGAATGAATAATGATAAAATAAAATAGTTAGATATCGTAATAACTATAACTATTGAGATACAAATGGGTTAAGGAGACAGACATAAAATTTACCATAAATATTTAACAAGATTGTAACTCTAAGATAACATCAGACAAGTTCGAGAGTAGTTATAACCCTATCTAAGAATAAGAGTGACTGGCAAAAATTGTACAAATCATAGAAAGATTAAGCTTATAGTCATACTAAGAAGTTATAGGAAAAGGGTAATAGAGCAAAGACTCAAATGATATTGACAGTATAGAAGATTAATTAGATTTTGTTATGGCGAGCTGATCAAGTATGAAATCAATACACTTGCTATGAATGTTGAAGAGTGGTAACAATGATTGATCGAAGGATATTATAGGAATAAAACTATAAAGGAGATATTAGACGAATAAAACTATAAAAGGACAAACATGGTCTCCACATTGATATGAAAAGTGTATAATAGGGTGCATAGGGAATTATCGTGGAATACGGGAAAAGAAATTTTTTTATATTGTATATATCAAGCAATCAAATATGCAAGGAGTTTGTGAGAACACAAGACCAAGTAATATATAATTGCAGAACTGAATCAAGGGCAACTGCAAGCCCTATCTTTTTAACCAGGTTTTGATGAGTTTACTGAATGTATACAAGTGCCAGGGCAATGATGCAAACTTTATGCAGATACTATGGTCCTAGAAGGGAGGTCCAGAAAAGAAATAAATTAGAGGTCAGAGCTGTGACGAAAAGCTATGGAAAGACAGATTTTGTAGAACTAGAACAGAAAATATGAAATAAGTTTATCAGAAGGCATAATAGTTCTAGCATAGACGTTATACCATACTATAAGTCACATGGTATAAGTATCTTGTGTCAACCATATTACATTGACAGGTATGTAGAGGAAATTATAAATCAAAAGATTCAAGTGGGTTCGATGAAGGTGAGGAGGACTTCAAGTGTTATTTGTTGCATAAGTAAAAAAGCACCACTCAAGCATAAAAGGAACATTTTATATATAACTATGCAGCCTACAATGTGAAGTAGAGCTGAATATTAATTTGTTAAAGGGCAACAAAAAAGGAAGCTCAGTGTTGCATAGATGAGAATGCAACGATGGATGAGGGGACACACGCTGAAATAGGATTTGAAATGAATGGATTAGAAAGAAGACTTAATTTAGCTACTTGTCCATTGTGATTTGGGTATAATATTGTCCTATGTGATTTGGGTATGTTTGAAGAGTTAGAGAAGATCCAGTAAGAAAAGTAGATCAAATGGAGGGTGGTCCAATGGTTAAGAGGTGAGAAATCAAGAAAAACAGCAAGTCAAACCGATAAGAAGACTTAATTTAGCTCGTTAAAATAGCTATCTATTTATAGACATAACGTACACTAAAACGTAATGATATTGTCTAACCCACGTAGTTAGTGGGAAAAGGCATTTGGACATCATCGCTACCTCAAAATTTAGTTTCAAACTTTCTCTTACATCTAAGCTCCAAACCTAACAACGAAAACACCATGTCAATGGACATTAAATGGTGTTCAGTTGTTCAGTTCTCGTAGTGATGCACAATCTTACACCAAATGTTCAACATACTCATATTTGATACACCTACGAGTTCAAACTGCCCCAAATGCCTTGTGTCACACCAATATTTCATCCACGACATATAATATATCCAAACACCATAGGGGAAAGGCTAATCAGAGCTTCGGGCAACAGAGAAACATATTTTCAAATCTCCCAAAGTACCAGCCCCAAAATCTCAAATTCCAGACTCGCGTTAATAAAATGCTCCCTAAATCAATCACAATCCCTCGCAGACACAAATTCAAATCCACCCCCAAAGCAGAAATTCGCTCTCAAACTAGAAACTTCAAAAAGAAAAGAAAAACATACAAATAAAAAAAACCGAATTTGAGAATTACATGGCTGCTTACAAATTAAAAAACTAAAAATATATAAAGAAGGAGACATATTTTCCTTACCTAAGCTTATTTAACCCGCTTTCGGCATAGCCTCCAAACCCTAGAAAAACCCACTTCTGCATGCAAATTCCAAAACCCAGATAAGAAAAAAAAAGTTAGAAAAAATGAAGTAATTTCACTTCTGAGCAGGGGCAATTTGGTAAAGAGATGCATAGAATAGAACACAGTGAAAGTTGCACCAGTGGCAACAACAAGAGAGGAAGTTGCAAGTGTACAATTGCAAGATTGAACTGATAGATATGTAATGATTTATGGCAGCGTTTCTTATATATTTCAGGATAATCATTGATTCACAATATTGGTGCAATCCAAAATCAAGGTCCAATTATGTGATGAAACGTGTCATGTGACGTCATCAACACTTAGTTGTCACCAGATAGAGGCGGGAGGTGGGTCCACATGTAGTGAAATGCTATGAAGACAATGGAGGGTCTTTTTCGTAAAATGAGGTGTGCGAGAAGCACGCCACACACAACCTTATTTTCAACAATAAAAATACATAGATAGATTTCTTTGTCGGAAGAACACAGAACTTTTTTATGACCATTATGCCACGTGTTTGGTCAATGATTTTCTCTCGTTTTCTGGTCAAACTCAGCATTTTTAGTCAGAAGTTCTGTTATACGTGGCTGAATCAATAGGGAGATGCACAATTACAATTATTTTTTAGCCCTTTTGATTGAAACTCCTAATTCAATTTCTAATGTAACATGTGTATGTTTTTCATAGATGAAAAAATGTACTTGAAAATAAATGATTTTTTAGTGGTGTGATGTTTTAATAGAAATTAATTATTAATAAATTTGGAGAATAATTTACATTTATAATACTATAGAAAACACGCGTGTATTTTTTATATGATAATAAAAAAAATATAATTTTATTGTAAATATAAATATTTTTTAAAACTTTTATTGTAAATAGATTATTTAATTTTTAGATAATTTTATAATTAAAAAATGGTTTGTGTGTGACTTGTAGCTATCACATTCACAATATCTAACTTTGTATCACTCCTATCCTAATCAATCCAAATTCGCGAAGTGCTGGAAGCAATTGCCCTCCTTTAGTATGGCAAGAAAACAGCCACTTTGATTTGGGAAGATACACAATGTTTTTCCTAAACATATGCACAGTGCCAACAACTATTACTACACAGAATTGAAATTTTCACAAGTTCAGAGCACTTTTCATTTGCTGGCTAAATGAATTCCTAATCCATGCTATATTTTTTGAGTCAGATAAAATCAATAACAACAACAGATATGAATTTCAAGAACAGGATAAAGAGTGAACATAGTATTTTGAGCAATCTAATGAGTGGTGGTGAACAGAGATTCCTCTTTCAACTCTACACACCCAGGTCTTCTACAGGCAAGGCCAATCTATCTTTACTTCAGCTGAACCAACAGCTTGTTGGTTAACATTTACTGCAACAAGCTTGGATTTATTTTCCTATCATCTCTTTATAGAGTAAGAGAAATCTGGAAAATGTCTACCCAGATCAGTTGAAAATGTTTGCCAAAGTCCTTTTCTCTTCAAGAGATATTATATTTTCAAAGGCATCAATCAATGCTTTAACCTTGCCCTCTTCAACAAGCTTACTTGCTGCTGCTTCAATCACATTATCATACAATCCTTCTCCATCTTTCTTGTCCTTCACATCTTCAGGTCTCAAAACAACCTTCTCTGGACCAGTTCTAGCAGCAGACTTGGCATCAGTGCCGTTGTCCCTTGACACCTGTCCTCCCTCCATTTTAAGGATTTTCAGATTATCTTCATCAATTTGAGTTTCAGCCAATTCTCCACTCAACTTTTGCCCGTCCTTGTCTTCAGAAAAAGCAACCTCAACATCTTTTTGAGTCCTTCCATTCTCCTCAGTTTCCAGTGTATCCACATTAGCCTGGTATTCAAATTCATGATTTTGGGGAAGAACATCCTCTTCAGATTCAGTATTTGCACATTCAGAGTCCTCTTGGTCTTCTTGGGGTGAGGTTTGAGAAACTGAGGAGGGTGATAAGGAATTAGAACGGGGCAATTCAATTTCCTGGCTTTCGTTTTGATCAGATTGTGGACTTTGGTTTGCACTTTCTATCTTGATGACATACAAAGTCTTTTCCCGAGCCTCCTTATTGTGCTCTTCAGGTTCTACTCCTATAGTGGGTTGATTCATAAGATGAGGCACAATTTTCAGGCCTCTGTGCTTTCTTGCACTAACGCTTCCAATGCCTCCGGGTGAAGACCTTGGTGAGGTTTTTCTCTTTTTTAACTTAATCTTACTAATCCTTTGGCCACCAAGTCCCTCAGAAGAATTCATAGAAGATGTGATCTTCATTGAAGTAGCATGCTTTTCGGACAACTGCATTTCTTTATCTTCAAAAGAAGACACCTTTGGTGAAGCTTGCTTCATCGTAGACATAGATTTTGATGAAGCTTTGACTATTTTGGGAGTTAATTTGGGATGAGTTTGCACCCTCTCAGAAGAATTCATAGAAGATGTGATCTTCATTGAAGTAGCATGCTTTTCGGACAACTGCATTTCTTTATCTTCAAAAGAAGACACCTTTGGTGAAGCTTGCTTCATCGTAGACATAGATTTTGATGAAGCTTTGACTATTTTGGGAGTTAATTTGGGATGAGTTTGCACCCTCTCAGAAGTTGCTGCTGGTGAAGATTCCACCCTTTTGGAAGTTGGTTTTGATGGAATCTCCCCCTCAAAATTTGAAGATTTTTCCCCTCTCCTTGTTTCGATGATTGAAGAAATGTGTGATTTTGAAAGGAATGATGATTCGGCCCTGAGCAGTGATGCTTTGCCCGTGTTTTCCAGAACTTTATTCCCTTTCTGCTTTTGGCTGCCAGTTGATTTTGATTGGAGTTCCACCTTATTTGTTTCAGAGTCATCAGAAATCTGAATGACAGAATTAACTGATTCACTGCTTTTCACTGTTGAAATCTGTGTTGGCTTGGAATGAAGTGAAGCTTTCTGTTTGGCAACTGATATCGTTATCCCACCATTACTGTCCTCTGAACTTCTAGAAAGTGATTTTCTTCCAGCTCTCTTAAGCATGGAGAGTGTCTCCTTTGCTTCCTCCACATTCATCCTCCCATATTTACAAATATCATGACAGGAGCCAATAGATGCTCTGAGATAACGAGGAACAACAACTTTTCTTTCATTATTTCCAGAGCTTTCTATTCCAACTGAGTGCCTTCTTAATTCGGCACCACTTGACATTGTTACTTCTGAGATCAGAGATGAATCAACCCTTTGCTACGCAGAACAAGATCTGCGGCAAATATCCTTAAATAAAGAAACAAAGCTATTTTTAAATAAAACCAAAAACGAAGTAATGACTGATTAACAGCAAAAAGCAATATAATGATCAATATTCAAATTTGTTAAGATTAGAAGCAACAAAATTTATCAACCGTGCTTCAAAACTAAATACGAGATAATGTCAGATAACAAGAAAAGTACCGTTCTCAGCGCAATCTTTGGAAGCTAACAAAAACAGAATATGTTTAAAGCAAATCTCAATTTAGGCTAGAAAGTTCCATAGTGTTCAGAAAAAAAAAATGATTTTATAATTTTTTATGATTTGAAACTCACTGAAAATGAACAAAAAATCTTTACTGCACAAAATGAATTTGATTCAAACATATCATTCAATAAATAATACTCTCACGTCTAACACTTTTTCTTATAATATAAGCGTCTCGACCATGCAGCTATAAACTGACCCTAATGAAAAAAGAAGAAGGCACGTATGAAGCACATCAATAACAAAAGTACCAACGCAATCAACTAAGAGGAAAAGAACTACAAGATTACATTACAAACAGGTACATTTTGATCGCGATCAACTTAAACTATACTTGAGATAGAGTCTAATAATATTCATCCAAACAAAATGATGCATGCATCACTGATCATCACCCATTTCACGCAAACGAAAAAACACACAATTGAAGAA